CCTCAATATCAGGATGAAGCTTTTCATGAGGTTAGAGTCATTACATAAATCAATATTTTTAAGCTATATATATAACTGGACTTCTATTTTGAAACTGTAGATGTTTCTCTTCCCATCAGGGAGGCTTTGTCAGTTGAAAATATTTGGAGTGGGAGCTTTAGAGCTTCGTGAAGGTCTATAGCTTAGAACACAGAATAGAAATCTGCCCCCAAACTGGACCATGATGCTTTGCGTTAGGCAAAGATGGCGGTATCTGCGAAATACTCCATTGCAGGATAGGGGAAATTGGTCTTGGCGGAGGTTTGCACTCTCTGAGTGCTCCTAGTTTTAAATAAAATATAAATTAATGTTTTTAACTCTTAATTGTTAAAAAAATCTGTTTGTTTTTATATTTATGAGGTTCTATTCCTAAATAGGTAGGGGGATTAAAAAAGGATAAACCTTGGTACTCAAGAGGATAAAACTGGGGAGGCCACTTGGGTGGCCAGCTTATTCTCAGTGGGGCCATGCACCCCTGGTGCAGGTCTATAGTTTGTTTCTCTTTGGTCTTCACCATAGTGGAGCTTGGAGTGTGACTGTTTGAGGTTGTGAACATGTGTCTTTTATACTGATAACAAGTTCAAACAGGTGCCATAACTATAGGTAATGTGTGAAGGACAGAAAAGCCTCTTAAAGAACTTACAGATCTGTGAGAGACAGAACTCTTGCTTGTTATTGACCAAATACTTATTTCTCAACATAACTGGCAAATAAGTTCTTAAAAAATCAAATAATGTTATTTTCTAGATGCTTTCTCATTTTGTCTCATAGTTGCGGTCTAACTATGATGTCCATTACAAACCACATCTTTTTAAGTGGGAGGACTTGCAAAATTGGTGGCTGACTAACAACCCCCCCCCCCCCCCCGTATATTATACAATACAGTATATCCTAAAAATGTAAAATAGTCATTCTGTTGGAAAAAATGGGGTTAAAAAAGAAAACCTTCCTTAATTGTTGAACTGATGTGAGACCGAAAAGGGGAAGAGTAAATACAAAGAAAACTGGGAAGTAAATCACAGTAAACCCATTACAATGTGCTTTAACTCCTAAATATCCTGAATCGTTTTATAAAAGTAAATGATTCAATAAATAGACAGAGAGCATAACCCCTCCAAAGGTAGACCTAAAGTTATGGGAATACAAATCTGTGACTAACAAACAATGCATATATTGTATAGAGTTAAATGAGTGTGTGTGTGAGCATAAATACAACAATAAAAGCTGTAAAATTTGTTTAATCTTTTAAACACTTTTCAGCAAACCGTGTACAATCTGATCTTAAATCTTTGCAAATATACACAAAAACAAACAAGTTTGAAGTCTATTAAGTAAATGTGCCTCAGCAGTAAAAAATAAACATAGAAAAATGATTTAAAAGCAAGATATGGCAAAGTGCTGTTTACTGTAAGGCTATAAGGTTTAAATACTGAAATATCCAACATCAATCAACAAAACATACAAAGCTGTCTTCTAAAATATTTGTGCACCTCAAACAAGACATTCTGACTTAAAATGATTTTAAAGGCAACAAAGACAAATCTTTCATTTAAACTTTCTCAGCTCCATCTTAAAACACATTTTCTCTCAGAAAAGTTCCCTTTAAAATGACCTAAAGTTTTATCCTTTCTTAACTTAGCTACTTCGTTTTATAATCTTTGGTGATTAGATATGTACTCAGCAGTGCAGTCCATTTTTATACTTCATGTTAATACACAGTGAGCTGGGAGGATGCAGGTGGAACTGTGACAGAAGTGCAAACGTGTTGAAGGAGAAGGCAACAGTGGGTAACAGCAGAGAGTCAAGTAGGTGATTTAATTCTCATCACTGCAAAAGTTTAGCGAGCAGAGCGACTATTCAGCTTCGTCGTTCAGAGTGAACCTGGAATAACAGGAAGGAAGACACATTTAATGAAAACCAAATGACGTAAAATAAAAACAAAGTGTTTAAGTTTGATCTRCTCTGCTCACCAGTCTGTGATTCCAGACATCAGGTCATACTGAGCCAACTCAATCTGCACCTAAAGGAACAGAAAACAGCTGTGTCAGCATGGACTGAGAACAAGATCAGAAGATTTCAGAATAAAAGCATAAAAAATCAGTTAGTGTACAACGTTACCAACACGTGTGTGTGTGTGCGTGTGTGTGTGTGTGTGTGTGTGTGTGTGTGTCACACTACATATGAAAAGTGCACATGAAGACTTCAGACCGACCTGCCCAACAACATCCCGGCTCCTGAACGAAGCAGAGTTATTTTTCACCGATACGCTGAGGCGCCTGAATCTGGTCTCATCCTCGGCCAGATCGTACTCAAACCTTAAAAAAACAAAACATAACAAAAAAAAACCATGAGAAACATCCAGAATAATGACACCTGCACAGAAATATGGAGACACAGTAATTACCTTTCATTAAACTCTGGGTTTATGTCTTTTTTCTTCACGGCTGTCTTTTTCTTGGTGGCCTTACTTTTATCTGGCAGCAGCATGAGGGAGACGTAGCTGTCGACACCATCCTTACTTTGTGACAGCAGACSTCTGTGTGAAGAGAAAAGAAGAGTTCTTACACACACACTATCATCTTAACTCATCTAACCCTGAGGACATGGCAGAAGTGCCAGAACACATCAGCATATTCCACCTACAGTACCGTTTATAAATCAGGTATTGCTCTTTTTTCAGTCTGATGTGTCAAGATTCTTGTTTTAAGTTTTTGTGATTAAATAGGACATAATCCAATGTTGTTTTAGACTGAATTTTGTTTGGTCACATTCCTCAAGCAACAGCAGGAATATGCAAAATGTAAATAAGTGGAACCAAACATAGCTTCTGATGAAAAGAACACACACCTGCAGGCATGGACGATAACAACAAGCTTCCTCTCCCTTGAAGCATATGAAAGAGACAGCTTCACCTGCCCATTTCCAGGTCCAGGAGCAGCACAGGGCAGTGTCCCCGCACCGATCATGTCCACCATTTTGGAATTCAGAATCTGTCAAAAACAAATTGGGACCATCAGTCCTTGTTCTATCGCTAAAAATATTCAGTTCCAGCCCATCCATGAGGTGTTTAATGTGTCACCTTGAGCTCAGCTCTCAGTAAGAGCTGACTGTCAGGTGAGGCTCCATCCAGGTGGAACCACTGGTCCATGACCAGCTGTGGTTTTGCAAGCAGCTCCTTAACTGTAACCACGAGAGACCCCATTGGCTGGTCCCAACCACTGGACAGCTGCGGTGCAATAAAGAGGAGGGTTACATTTACTGTAAAATAACTCATGTTAAATGTAAGCCAATAAGCTATAAATCCATCCAACAAACAACAAACATGTAGGATGTAAACAAAGTTCTTGCCTTCACCACAAGGATCTGTCGTTTAGGGTCATGGACTAAAAAGTAGAACGACTCATTCCACTGAGGACTGGCACTGCGGTCACACAGCTGAAAAGGTATTTAAAATTTATGTTTTTAAATAATTATTTATCAGTAAAAAAAAACTATCTAAAGAGTCTCACTTTGGTTTTGTATGTTGTTTCACCCAGAACAAGCTCAGCTCCAGCTTTGGGTTCTTTTCCACTCTTTTTAAACTGTTTGGGTAAAAAGAAGAACTCAAGTTATGATAATTTATGTGGAGACGTTTCTCTTTTAAAGAGTGTAAATAAACTAAAGGTGACTCACAGGTAGTGAATGTGCTGCCTGTATGTAGACAAAGAGCAGAGCTGCAGAGGGGGCAGCTTTGTTCTGATAGGACTGCAGAGACGGAAGCTGCAGCACCTACAATACAAACACCTTTATCAACATCTGCAGTGGTGAATAAGGAGGCTGTAAAGAGGCAGAGGGGCCGACCTGTTCAAGTCTCTGTGTGTTTGACACAGTGGGAACCCACTCTAGTATCAGGTGAACTTTTCCAGATTTGACATCCTTCAGTGTGAACCACTGCAACAAATATGACCAAAAAAAAAAAAACATTTTAAGGAAATTACATAAGAGCTTTGGAAATCACAGGGTGTGACTAAAGATCATGAATGAGTGACTAACCTGGTCTATGTACTGTGATCTGACGACCTCATTTAGATGAACACTGAATCTGTGAACACCAGTGCAAGCAAATGATTAACACGCTTTTAGCTCCGTGTCTTCGTCTGCTTTCAGATTTAATGACACATATTTTTTTCATCGCATAATTTATATGTTTAGCTCTGATAATTTTGATTAAAATGGTAGGAAATCATAGCATTTATTTGATTTTACACCTCATTTATTTTATGAACTGTGCATGCCACACACCTTCCCAGGAAGTCATCAGAATCTAGATCTTTATCAAACACATCAAACATGATGCTCTGATCGCCGAGTCCACTCAAAACAACCTGTTCAAAACAAACAAAAACATGTTTATAGACGAAACAGGCATGAAAATAAAAGAACGCTTTACTTCTTACTTACCTCATACATTTCATTCCATGTTGGGTTTAGGTTCTCTTTGATCACATGACTCTTGAAATTAAAATTGCCCACGTTTATCTTGACATAAGGATCACTTTTGCCCTTCACCATGCCCCCCATCATGTTATCCTTTGCTACCAGGTTCTGGGCCTCCAGCAGGTGGATCCTCAGCACCCCCTACAGGACGATGAAAGGAAGTGTTAGAAAATATGCAGGAACAAATCTACATCTTGTAAAGTTATCTAACTCACTTTAATGTTGCTTTTTTTTTTTTTTTACACTTGCTTGTGTGGCATAAAAACTTATTTCCTTGTTGCTCATTTGGCTAAAAGTCCACATCAAACTGCCCACACAGACAATGATACAGAGTTTGTCAAATGTTCAGTTTTTATTTGGAGTTTGTGAAGTTCTTCTTTTCCGTACAAGCACACATGACACACTTCCTCGAGGAGTAAATTATAAATCATCATGGAGTTTGGAAAATCTGAAGAGAAGTTATTTAGAAATCTCAGACAAGCTGAAACTGAGAATCCATCCATTTCCCATCAATCATCACCAAATGACCAGGAACAAAATAAATGTTCTGAACCATCTGATTAGTTTAACACAGTTGGGATTTTGTTAAAGCTTCAAAATAACCAAACCCACCTCTTTACCAAAGTTCGGGCCTGGAGCTGTGTGTGGTGGAAGACTTGGAGCCACTTTGGAGATTTCTGGGACTTCTGCTGGCGCCACAGAATCTGTGGGAAAACTTGTGACCGTGGCCTGAGCAAGACCTTCTAAACCAGTTCTACATTCACACAGAAACACAAAAGAAATGTAAGTTAATACATGTGTTTGTGTGTTGATGTTTTAATAATGATGGAAACAGAGATTAAAGATACTTGTGATGTTGAGCTCACCCTTCTGTTTGGCCTCGCTGTGCTTCAGAGTTAACAGATGTGTGTGGCGGTGTGGGATGCTCAGCTTTATTTGTTGGTTCTTCCACTGCCTGATAGAAAATCAAAGTTATAAACAGGACAAATAGACAATTAGGATAAAGTAATATCTTCTTTAATTTTATGTAACTCACTTTAGTAGAGGGGAAAGTGTTAACTTTGGCCTCAGGTTGTGCCGGCTGGTCTGACTCTGAAGACCTAAAACCACAAGTCAGTTTTTTATTATAACCGTCTAAACTTTACTACCATTTTCTGAATGTATGAAGTTTCAGAACCACAGTCTGAAATAAAAAAGTAGCATGAAAACTGTGAAGTCAGATAAAAAGACTCACTCTTTTGTTGGCAACTTGGAGCTTTTTTCCTCTTTGTCAGGTATCTTTGCAGTGTTTTCAGCAGGAGTGATCAGAACTTCTTTTTTTGAATCAGACACAGAAGGCTTTGGAACTTCTGTCATCCGTGTGTCAAGGATCTGTTTGAAAACAAAATGTCCTCTCAGTTTCTACAGGCACGTCCACGAAACATTTCTGCAAGATGGCCACAATGGCTAGTCTGTCTATGCTCCCTCTGGATGTTCTTAAATCACAGAAGCTTTCAGAAATGAAGGGAGCATTGAGGAAGTAAAAGAGGCGAGGGGCAGAATTCAGCTGGGTTGATGTGAAGATTATTAAAAGTGTAACTGTGGCACAGCGGTGCAACAGGGATTGTGTGTGTCGTGTGTTCTCATACCTTCAGCTCAGCCCTGAGGAGGATTTCACTTTCAGGTAAAGCTCCATCCAGATGCATCCACTGATCCAGGACCAGCTGTGGTTCAGACAGCAGCTTCCTCACAGGAAGAACCACAGAGCCCATTGGCTGATCCCACGCACTGGACAACTACAGACACCAGAATGATGTCAGAACTCTGACATGTTCCTGACAATAGCAGCTGGTTTATGTGTTATAGTATAGTAAATAATTCACCTTCACTATGAGCATCTCCTCTTTAGGGTCACGAACCTGGAAGTGGAAGGCCTCACTCAACTGTGGTGATCTGGAGCGATCACATACCTATAAAAATAAAAAAAGTAAAAAGGATAGAGAGTGAGAGTGATTGTGGATAAACACATTTCACTTATAGCATTGTGTAAATATTGCTTATTTTTTTAAATCTTGTTACTGTTTTTAAAAGCAGCCTGTTTTGTTGCTGTTGTTTACTCAGTTTCATACCTTGGTTTTGTATGTTGTGCTACCAAACACAAGCTCAGCACCAGCTTTGGGTTCCTTCCCACTTTTCTTAAACTGGACAAATAAAGACAGAACAAAATGAGATGAGTTTATGTCCAATTTCAGTAATTATTATATAAAATACAGATTCTTTAAAAAGCATGTTTGCCTTTAAAGCAGTAGTTGCTACAAAAAGAATGAATATAAATGATTTAAACAGTATGTCCCTCTAAAACAGTTAATTAAATGTGGTTTCAGGACTGAAACAAATGACTCACAGGCAACAAGTGTGCTCTGTCCACATAAACAAAGAGCAGCGCTGCAGAAGGAACAGACTTGTTCTGGTACGACTGAAGAGACTGCAGCTGCATCACCTGCAGCCAGGAATTAAACCAAATACATTACAGTGACTCAGCTTTCACAAACACAATAAACAAACTGTTATTATATTTAAAATGGTTAACGCACAAAAAGATTTACAACACCCAACTAAATATAGACATAACGCATCAAAATAAAATAAAAACCCTGATAAATAAATCTAATTTGTACTAGCCTGGTCCAGGTTGTCATTATGAGATACAGCTGGAACCCACTCCAGGATGAGACGAACTCGACCAGACTTGACATCATTCAGAGTGTACCACTGAAACAGACGTTACTGACTCAACATGTGCTACAAGGAAGGGGAACACATTTAAATACAGTTCTCAGAATACTAACCTGGTCTGTGTACTGGGAACGAATTATGTCTGAAACACTGACTTTGAACCTGTTTAGTGAAAAGAAAAAACATGAATAACAAGTGAATGGGAGCGGTTTTAACAGTAAAAGTGCAAAGATTAATTTTAAAGTGACACAAAATTCATTTGTGATTCTAATCAGATTGAGCTGCTTTGATAAAATACTTCATAAAAAGGAAGGAACAGATTTTGATCTTTTTTTCTATTTGGATCTAATCTTGTTTCAAACTATTATAAAATTCAGAAAATAATACATGCTGATTTGTATCTTTAAGCCAAACATTGTTTTAAAGCATTGTTTTTTAGGATTAACTACAGTTTGTCTTTGAATCACATACAGTATTTTAGCTGAATGTTTTAATGAGGAAGTAAAGCCACAAAAATAAAGAACCTCCTCACTGAAACATTCTCACCTGCCCAAGAAATCATCTTTGTCCATATCTTTATCGTTCAGCTCCACCTGCACCTCCTGACCTGACTGAGGCCTCAGCACCACCTGGAAGAACAAAAGCAGTTCAGACAATTTGAACATCCTGACGGAGGCTTGTTGTACAGTGATATGAAGAGTTCTCTCATACACACCTCATACAGCTCATTCCACACTGGGTTAAGATTCTCCTTGACCACAGCGCTTTTAAACACAAGCCCCCCRACGCTGATCTTTGCATACGGGTCACTCTTGCCCTTCTTCATCCCACCCATTAGGTTATCTTTAGCAACCAGATTCTGGGCCTCCAATAAGATGATCCTCAGCAGCCCCTGTGTGGATGAAATGGGTTATTATGCATTGATTTATATTAAATTAATCATCATGCTGTTTTCTGTGTTGTTACCTCACTGGCAAAGGTGAAGTCTGGGGATGTATGAGGGGGTCGTGTGATAGCAGGACTTAGAGATTCTTCCATCTTATCTTCATTCACATCAACTGCTGTTTCCTTTACTTTAACCTCTTCATCCAAAGCCACTGAGGAGACGATAGTCTCAACAGGAGGAGTATCCACTGAACTTGATCTGAACACAAACACATAAGAGTAATAAGACAGTACATACAAGGATTAATAAAGAAAATTAAAGGAAGTATCTCACCTCAGCACTGTGTCTGTTTCCTGCTGGTGTTTATCTGGAGCAGGGTCTGACGCTGCAGTGATTTTAGCCTTTTCTGTAGCGCCAGGGCATTTGCTAGGAATCAGCATCTGAAATTAAGTGGATTTGATTGCTTTGTTAAGTGAACCTTGCTGCAATATTAAATACAAAAACAATTAATGATAAAAAATTTTAAAACATCCTTAAAAGCACAATGAGAGCACTTTAAAGGCTACTGTAAAAGTTCATAATAAAAGTCTGATCTTACTTTAAGCTCAGTCCTCAGTAGGATCTGACTCTCTGGTGAGGCTCCATCCAGATGGAACCACTGGTCCAGAACCAGCTCTGGTTCAGACAGCAGCTCTTTGATGGGAACTACCAAAGAGCCGATTGGCAGGGTCCAGCTGTGTGAGAGCTAGAACAAACAGATTGGCACAACGCTGAGTGTTAGCTCAGGATTACAGATGCAGTATTTACCTCTGCAGGATGAACTGATTACTTTAACAATAAGGACATCCTCTCTTGGGTCACGAACAAGGAAGCAGAACGCCTCGTTCCACTTGGGTGATGTTGTGCGATCACACACCTTCAGATGGAAGGAAAAGTAAACTTTATCTTAAACGTTATTAAAGATAAATTAAATATTAAATATTGAAATTAGGGATATGTTTTATAAGTAATGTTTAGGGACTTACTGTTGTTTTACGAGATATCTTTCTAAGAGTTAACTCCACTCCCACTTTTGGATCCTTTCCACTCTTTTTAATCTGAAAATTAATAAACAGAAGAATTGGCATCATTATTAACTGGGAGATAAAAGCAAACTGCTTATTCTACCCACAGGAGTATCAAAGGACTCACAGGTAAACCGTCTGCCTGTTCTACAAACACAAACAGCAGACCCGCTGAGGGCACGGCCTTGTTCTGGTACGACTGTCTGGAGTAGAACTGAAGAACCTAAAGCCACAAAAAAGACCTCAGTAAAAATAGAGAACTCACATCAGTGTCTCCATCAGTCCTTAGTTTGATCAGACAACACTGACCTGATCCAATCTGTCTGGTTCTGAAGACGTTGGAACCCATTCCAGGACGAGGTGAACTCGACCAGACTTCACGTCACTCAGAGTGTACCACTGACCAACAAACAGTAAACATTTCAGCAAAGGAACACAGAACACCATCACAAGGATTTATTTTTTAAAGAAAATGTTTAAGTTTAACCTTTGCTTGTTATTTTTGCTAAGATGCCTCGTGTTTGACAGGAGTTTAGTAAAAACTACTACTGTAACTTGCTGAGTTGGACCTAACTTAAATCTTCAAATTAGTTTTTCAGATTAGCCTTTTTTTTATTTAATCCCAAAAATAAACAGTCGGTTTCTCACCTGATCAATGTACTGAGAATCAGTGATGTCCTTCAGACTTATCTTCAACCTGCATTTCAAAACATTTAACTGTTAAACGTTAACCTTTGATCTAATTAATATAAATAATGATAAAATAAACATGTATTTACCTGCCCATGAAGTCATCTTTCATGTCCACGTCTTTATCAAACACCTCCATGTGTAGATCCTGGCCTGGGAGCTGGGTTAGAATCACCTTCACAACAAAGTCACACATCAATGTGCTTATTTAAGAGAATGATAAAGACTGGACTGTTAAAAAATATAAAGCGTTTTAAGATGTAGTCATTCACTTTGTTGTTTTAGAAAGTTTCAATGTTTTTGTTTTGTTAACTGAAGATTATTATAGTTTGAGTCTACGTTTGAGAGAAAAGGGGCAGATATTATACGATTTTTTTCTTCTCTCTGCCACCTTTCATTTCATTTTATTTGTATTTTCTTTTTATTGTACATAGAATTTTGTTTTATGAAATGAAAAAAAAATATTTAAAGGACACTCATAATCTGAGTGAAAGTTAATAATACAAACAGTTCAGACATATTTACCTCATACATTTCATTCCAGGTGGGATTAAGATTACTCTTAATAACTTGGCTTGTGAATGTTTCGCCCCCTATATTGATCTTGACATAGGGGTCACTCTTGCCTTTCACCATGCCGCCCATCATGTTATCTTTTGGAATAAGATTCTGGCCCGCCAGCAGGTGGATTCTAAGCAGACCCTGAAAAAAATATAAACACATACAAAATGCTTCTAACATATTTTTGTTGTTGTTGTTTGCTTGGGAATTATGAACAGAATCCTTCTGTTCTTCCTTACCTCTGTAGCAAAGCTAGAATGAGGGGAGGTTTGTTGGGCCAGCTGTTTGGACAGTCCAGCTGCCAAATTAGACGACACATCTGATGAAATGCGCTCTTCGTCCAACCACAAGACCTACGTCAGATTTGAGGGAAAATGACAAATAATAGGATAAACAAAAATCKCATTGTAGTTTTAGCATTTTACTTTTTTTTCTTAAAGTTAAATTTAGGTTAAATAAAGACACCCGTACCCTGAGAACTGCGTTGACATAGATGCGACTCGCTGATCCAGAATGTTCCAGTTGAAACCACTGGTCTAGAGAAAGATTGGCATTTGCCAGCAGGCGGGACAGAGGAATGCTCAGACTGCCCAATGATTGCACGCGGTCAGCATCCTTCACCTGATTAAAGTTAAAAAATTATAATCAGCTGTCAGATTGAGTAATAAGAGGTTCTGTGAATAGCATCTCATTTTAACAGCAGATACCTGAATGCTAATRTCCTGTTTGTTAGGATCTTGGATGAAGAAGGTAAAAGCTTCCTCCCACTCTGGATTAACAGTTGTGTAACAAATCTGAAGACATTAATAAACAATGTGCATTAAAAATAAAGAAGAAAAACACAATCTATGATATTTTAATGAACTCTCCAACACGTATACCTTGCTGTCTTTAGTGATGTTCTGCACAGATATCTGCACCATGGGGTTGGGCTCTTTATTACCCTTCTTCATCTGAAACATACGCAGCAGGAGGGAAATATGATTACACTGTAACAGCATGTAAACTATAATATTCTGTAAGTCAGACTAAGACAAACTATCATTCTGAAAACATGTGGTCATGTCATGCGTGTTTAATGCTATCATAGCAACAGCAGAGAGTCACCTAGTGGCAAAACAGGAAGTTTGCATTAACCCTGTAATAGGGCTGGGTTTCACACTACAAATTCTGTCACTGGGGTTCTGTTCTGTGATGATGCAGTGAGAGATGTTAGAACAAGTCTGATTAACAGCCTTAAAGTTGGTCACTTTATTCCATGTATCAACTCAGTGACGGAGGCTGGAGGTCAGAGCAGCAAAGATTTGGAATGTGAAACAGATGGCATATGCCTCAGTGTGACCACACAGGAAGCAACGCTGAGCACAGCGCGAACATGGGCAGAGATATTTGACTCACGGGAAGTGCCTCAGCCTTGTCGAGATACACAACCAAGATTGCTGAAGAAGGGGGGTTGGAGGTTGTGCTGGCGACGCTCTCGTTCCTCTTTAGAACCTTGAAGGATTTCAAACACTTTGTTTAATTGTTTGACACTAAAAGGACTGACTGACGCCGTAGATTACTGGCAATAAAAAACAATCATTACAGCACTGTGTGAGTGGAAATGAAAGAGTCCTACCTGCTCTAGCTGCTCAGTGTTTGGCAGCAAAGCCAACCACTCCAGCCTGAAATGAACCCGTCCTGATGGGGTTTCTTTCAAAGTGAACCACTAAGGACAACAGACATTACAAACATTTACAATCCTGTAGGGCTGTAAAAAGATTAGTATTTTTAATCTGGTTAATCCCAAAGTAGCTGTGAATTAATCATGATTAATCTATACATTTCTAATGCATATAGATAAAATAAATTACTTGAGTTATTAATTAGTTTTTAATGATTTTATTTAGAAAACAAAATCGATGCTTAGACATGATTTTTTGAATATAAAACAGGACCTAAAAAATGCTCCAAACATATTTGAGTCAGTTAAATTTTGTGCAGAATAATGAGGTTAAATAAAGAATTCAAGGATTTTCATTCCAAATGAATACTACAAGAGGAATGAAAGATGGATACTAAGGTCACAGTTGTCAGCAAAACATAAATAAAATAAAATAAACCATAAGAACACAAAAAGAAAAAAAACTACATAATGTTTTACACATGGAGTTTTTATTTTATTTTATTTATTTAACCTTTATTTATCCAGGTAAACTGTTTGAGAACCACTTCTCATTTACAAACATGACCTGGCATGCACTGAGTGCATTGCAACATACAAACCTACACATTCAGCCATAGTAAAGTGATTGTAAATTTTAATCGCGATGAAAATTTTTTATCTATGCCCATGCAGCACTAAAATTAATCAGTTAACTCGATTAATTTCACAGCCCTACAATCCTGTGATCGTCGCCTAATGAAAAAAAAAATCTGCTAAAGATAATAACTTTTTACTTACATCATCAACAGCTATGGATTTCTTCACAATGCCTAAATCCAATGTGGTTCTACAACAAGAGGGAATGAAAGAAATTAAAATTAAACATGGAAATAATAGGTTATAGATTAATTAATGCAGTTTTATTATAAATAATGTATGACTCAAGTATTTTAGACTTTGTATGACTGTTTGTTATAGCTGATGATGGGGAACAACAATGAGAGACTCCATAAAAGCACACAAAAAAGACTTGAACAATGAAGGTGTACCTTCCTAGGAAATCATCCTTGTCTGGGTCTTTGTCATAAACTTCCACCTCCAGCTCCTGACCTGGCACTTCATGGACTATCACCTTATGTATAGGACACACACAGTGGAATGAAGACTGACAGAGAGATGTGTATGGCAGTGTGTCTTTTATAAATGTCAAATCTACACTAGTCCAATCCCTTAATGTCAAATGAAATTGTCCAATAAGTCATAAATGTTGTGGAAAGATGCAACAAATCTCTAAAAATATGCAAACATCTCCTTACCTCATACATCTCTCCCCACTTGGGGCAGTCTGTGTTATCAATATGTTTGGAGGTGAAGGTCTGAGGCCCCACCCTTAATATGGCGTAGGGGTCCGATAAGCCAGCCATGACTCCTTTCACATAGTTGTCTTTGGCTGCCAGGTTCTGTGCCTCAAGCAGGTGGATGCGTACCACCCCCTGAGGAGAAAAAAACGACTGGTTTGGATATTTTCTGAGATGTGAACTAAAGCTAAATCTGCAGGTGTGGATCAAGGCATCACCCTGGGCAAAGGACAGCGCAGCTGAGCCACATGCAGACCGGGAACCAGGGGGACAACGAGACGGTTGGGCAGCACCAAGAACGAAGCAATGGCATCCATAATCATGCTGTCCGACATGACGCTGCAACAAATCAGAGTGATTTTTCAGTGGAAGGAGTGAAGATTAATAAATTATTTCACATAATGTAGCTATCTTTTTTTAATGCATAAAATCCAGAAGGGTCTATTTCAGTGAGACGTACTTTAGTCCAGGGACGTCCAATAAATTAGTCAGTCCAGTCCAGTTGATGTCTAGTTTCTGGGAAGAAATGAGAAAGAGGAGCAGAGTAAATCAATCAGGACTGACCTGAAATCAATATCATGATTAGACTTCAAGACTAAACTGGGAAACATGATAGCCTCAGCAATGTGAGATAGAGGTGCAACAAGAAAAACACCAAAAAGAAAAGACGTCTTCAAATGGACCTACGGGTCGACGGATGAAAAACATGGTGACCGCTCCTACAATGGGCACATCTCCAATCAGAGGCTCCAGAATCACGCGCATCATCCCATGTAGCTAAAAACAGAGAAACAAAGAGGCTGTTTGTTGACTTCCTGCAAGTCCACAAAAAGGAATTCTTTCAGAAATGTAACACATTACATCTTAATAACAGGAGCACACTTTGCTTTYGAGGCTGAATACAACAACAAACCTGAATTCCTTTGACTCCTGCTTTGCAGAAGTATCGTTTCACTTCCACGTTGATCTCTGCATTCCCAACATAGCTGAGGACATGAGGACAGAAACGTTACCTACACTAATGCATCTATAAGGTTTATAACAGAGGTAATAAACAAAGGGCACCAAACAGTCACCTAATGTACAGGTCGAGCAGAACTTGTCCCTTGTCATTCTCTGTGTGGGCCTTGATCCCCACAACCTTCATGGCCTGAAGTAACAACAAACGTGTTACGTGTTTAATAAAAGTGAAGTGATTTTGTGTTAATTTACACAGCTGACAGTGACTATCCTCACCTTGTCTCCCATGTCCACCTTGGTRAAACTGAGTGTTTGGAGGTGGGTGCTTGAAGCTCGGAGGGACGGAGCGATGGTTTCAACCAGCAGCTTCTCCATGTACTGGCCAACAAAGGGCCACACCTGCTGCAGTACCTGGACAGGTCACCAAACACACAGCTTTTAGGTTTTATAAAAAACATCCAATACTTCGTCTTAGAACAGTTTTAAGTGAACTTTGGCATTTCAGTGATTTAGTAGCAAACCTTTTTATGAAATGCCTTGGCATTCACACAGTAAACAAAAAGAGAAGAATGACAGAAACAGATGGTGGGAGTTGAGCCTCCTCAGCTGTTGCCTTCTTATTTGGTTCTGGCATGCACCGTGACCGTGGATTCAGCAAACTACGTGTCAAAACTGAACTTTACCACAACTTTAGAAACTTTTGGGGACCTCCGTTACATTCTTACAAGGGAAGAATCTAGAAGCAGAGGCAGTGTTTGCTTGTGTTTCTATTACTGTGGAGAAAAAAAAAGCCACAGTGCTGGCTATAATCTGGCATAAGTATGGGGTGAGTCATCAACTGCCTGCTCCTGTAGAGGACAAAGAGAATCTGCTGACTGTCTCCAGAGTAATCGGAGCGAAGCCAGTGCTTTGCCTCTTGTCAGACATTTATATCTTGTGATTCTTTTAGCAATGGAAAAAAACATTATTTTTGTGTGTGTACACAACTGCCTACAATGCTCTAGGTTAGAGGCACATAGAGTCTGTAATTTTATTTAGTCTGAAGGGACCGTACAGCTCCTCCTCCTTCCTGCCTGCCTGACTGGCTGCAGTGAAATGGAAATGTTGAGAGGGTCGCCTGGCACAGGGCCTGCTCTCTGCAGAACAGCACCTACACTGAAAGAGGTGTGGCCTCTAGCAGCAGTGCTACCAGCTTTGAGCTAACAACAAACACTGTAGCACCAGCTATTACCCTACCATGTGCTGTGAGGTGTCAGTCAGCACAACAGCTGGGCTACCGAACRAAAGGACGCATGTTTGAACAGAGTAAATATAAAAAGAACAACAGGTAATGCCTTATCTTACCTTGTTCAGCCATTCAACCTTTTCCACATCTGGAAAATTTACCTAAAAAAAACACAATGAAGGCATTGTACTTTAATTGTTTCTTGAGCTTGGTAAACATACAACAGTATGAGGAAACAATTAAATAAAAGAGAATGCCAAGACTGGAAACATAGACAGAAAGCTAGAAAGAATGTGGACAAAGTAACTCTCAGCTCAAAGACCACTTTAAAATATATGGATTACCGTTAATAAGAGGGTGATTGTGCAATTGAAATGTTTGAAATGCTTTCCCCTATTAATATTTTATTGTTTTGCCTTCCTTCTAATGAGAGTTTGAAGTTATGATATACGTTGAGCAGGAATCAGTCCAAGGGTGCACTTTTTTATATAGACTTTTTTCGAGAGGACGCGTGCCGCCTGGTTGTGCAAGCAATCACGGAAATCAGAAAAAACCCACAGGAACCTCATTTGGGTGTAGCATGATGCTCTGAGTCAAAACAGGCCAGTGTGGGTACAGCTTTACAGCGTTGCCTCCCAGGACTCGTGGAGATGTATGAATTTGCATAGACTGTAGGCCCATTTACAAAAGCCAGTGTTTACAGTGTGTTTCAAAGTGTTGCACCACAATAAAAGGGTCCTACAGTAGTTTCCAACATCTTTAAATCACATTTATAAGTGTTGAAGTATGAGGATACAGGGACAAAAAAAGTGTTTGAAACAAAAAAAGAGGACTTCTGCACATTTATTAAATGCATGTTCAATGAGAACCCAAAGATAAATGGTGTTTTTCAGTACTAACTGCAGAATGTGATTAATCAGAAGATATCCAGGTAATAATGCTGCTTTGGTGAGAGTACTGTATCCTATTCTACAACTTATAAGAGTTATGATGATTTTATGATCCTCTAGTGGTTCCTAAAGTTGGGGTTAGGGCCCACAGTGAGGTCCTGAAACATCAAGGTGGGGTCCTAAAAAGATTTTCTGAATAATTTACATTTTAAAATGACTTTTAACATTTTTTTTTAGCATTGATTGTTACAAAAGCGTGAGGTTAGTGTACTTACAATGGATAAAAGTAGCATAATAAACACTGTTACTGTGCTCTTGTTTATTTGACCTGATACCAATGTTTATCAACCAAAACCAGTTGGGTCAGGTCTTTGTGGGGTAAAAGCTAAAACGTTTGGGAAGCATTGCTCTAAGTTACAGATGAGGGCGATTTAAATATCTGTTATAAGAGCAGATAAGAGTAAAATTATCTGTACCCATGCAGGAAGGTCTCGCTTGATTCTGGACCCTTTCCTGAACGCACACTCCTCCTCGTTGTCCATGAGCTGCATAGCTGACCTGAGGCGCTCCTCCTTCGCCTCCCGGGCATGTTTCCATCCCGTGTACACCATCATGCCGCACACCAGCAGGCTGGTGCTGACCCGATAGTAACCGGCCAGGTAGACGGGGAGCAGGGCGCCCAGACATTTGCCGAACGTCCACAGCACCGCGACGGCGCTTATCCCCTTGGGTTTGGCGGACTCTGCTGCTCCCACGACGACGTCGCTCGACGTTTTCTCCKCCGCGGCAGAACCGCTCTTTGTGTCCGGACACTCGGCGACCTCGCTGGGTTCTGTCGGCTCAGGTTTGTCGCTCTGCATGGTCGCTGTTAAGTTCAAGACGCTAATAGACGGTACCTGACGGCTAAAGTTTCATTACTTCTCACGCGAGCGGCAGATGGAAAAGACGCACGTGAGCTGTAACAGCTGGTCCGTTTAGCGCATTGTCTTGTATTAGAAAACGCTGATTATCACTGAATTAGCGCAGTTAAGACTGATTTACTGTGCGGATCTGGAAAAAGTACCAACTTCTGCGCCTCTGCCTCACCCAGTCCCGTTAGCTGGATGAAAACACGCCCACTGAAAATTCTTTGATTTTTTCCCCCCTCCCCGCTGCTGCGTCACACATTTCATTTTGGAGTTACCACCGTAATTACTGCAGCATARGAGAAACCACGTTGTTTTATGGTATGCAAGCATTTAATTAACTTAAATATAATCTTTCCTGTTCGGTGGGGCTTCGTTTTATGATTAATTCAGTATCACAGTAATAAAACACTTTCTATAAAGACAGCCCACTTTTAACTCAACCCTAAATCAAGCACCTCATTTTTGAAACCCATTAGTGTTTGTGGTTTAGACTCTGCAGGGATTCAAACTGTTTTGTTTTCCAACATATTTAACTATTCATGCCAACTGTTAAAATCCAAAACTAAAAATTGTAATCTTTACTCTTCAAARCTCCCGTAACAAGTGCCCAAATTCTAAATATCATAAAGTATGATCATTTTAATTTTTTCCTAAAGTGTAATTTCTTGTATGCATCTGCTAAAACAGCACTCCCTATGAGAAGTCCGTGCTCAGGAAGAGTGGTTTAAAACAGAAATAGGGTGGATCTACAGCTCCTGAAGAAACAGATTAACATTTACACAATGTGACTCCTCCCAAACCACCGGATCAACAGGATGTTTGAAGCATTTAAAACCATGTCTGCCAGCAGACCTCCAGCTACTGTAAGAATTAAAGCAGCTGTTATGAAAACACTGATGCATATACACGGTGACAGATTACGCAAGACTCACGAGTGGTTGCGACATTTTCTTCAAGTACCAAAATTAATTTACAACAAAACAAACTAGAAAAATATAAACACAAACTGCTTCCATTGTGATTTATGCCCAAACACGGACATACAGCGATCCTGCTGAATAGTTCTGAGACGCTGTGGGGAAACTTCACGCATTGAGTTTGTTGACATTCCAGGGTGAAAAGATCCCACTGATACACACAGATTTTTGTCAACGTTCCAAAAGACTTGTAACAGTGCCACACGACACAATGATTTAGGAACAGATAAGAACAAAACGAACGAAAAAAGTGTCCACATCTCAGCGCTTTCGCTGTTCTGCTGACCTCACAAAACATAAAAAAGCCTTCAGTGTTAAAACTGTCTGTCTTGAAGGTCTGACTCGTTATTTTGACGACTTTTCAGTGAGGCAGGGTCGTGATCCTCATGCTTTGACTTGCGATCGGGTACGACACCATCGGGGTGGTGGCRTGACTCATGGTGATGCCGGCTAGAGGCTGCGTCATGGACACGGCCACCGGTGCCACAGACGCAGCCACCTGTGCCATGGAAACAGGCGGTGCCATTCCTTGAGCAATGGTCTGTGCCAGGGCAGCTGACAGGGGGGTGATCTCGGGGTTGAGGTGCGGCGGGGGCGCCGTAGGTGGGGCTGCGTTGGTCGGCGGCGCGGCGGGGGCACCGGTGGGAGCRACCAGGTCTTGCTGAGTGACGGGCCGAGGCTGCAGTCCGGCGCTGCTCAGGGTGGTGTGGGTCTGAGCGATGCTGTGATTGTAGGAGCTGACTGCGCCCACRGGGGGAGCCAGATTCTGCTCGGTGGGAGCCGGAGTGGAGGACAGTGTCATGACCTTGGCCTGGCTCCGGAACTGGGCGTTTTGTTCCAGTAAAACCTCATTAGTGGCGATGAGATTGGAAACCTGAGGAGCATAAAAACAATACTTAGAAAAATGATGAGATCCGTGCAAAAAGTAACACATCAAACGCAAAAAAAATACCACAAGAAAAACTTGTCTTGTGCTATTTTAAGACCGTTTTTATTGCCACTCCTGCATAACCACGAGTACATCAAAGGAAAGGTATTTCTGTGAAACTCTAGAAAATTCTGTTTTAGAAGAATCACAAAAATTCACAATTAATTCGGGCACACTTAATCTAAAAATGCTGAAATGCCATTTCTCTGCAATGCTTACCTCTATAAAACATACAGTCTGCATCAAATGTAACCCTGACTCTTTTTGTAAATATTGCTTTAATCATTTAGGACAGGGGTTCTCAAACTTTTTGGGTCTGGGTACCCCTTACAAGGGCAAAATAATTCTAGGGACCCCCTCATAAACCCCATGCTTTTTTAAAGGGTAATTTACTGTCGTTTCAACCCCTAAATGCCATGGGAATATATTTGTTATTTAGTTTATTATGATTGTTTTATTAGTTCAATGTTCCCTGTGCATTTTAAAAAATAAAAACCAAATTAACAATTTAGTGAATTTTTTTGAGGACCACCAAGATGCCTTTCGCGGATCCCTGGGGGTCCTGGGACCCCAGTTTGAGAACCTCTGGTTTAGGAGAACTGATAATCTGGGTTAACATGGGTTTCCTGATAAGATCTAATGTTGTTTTTCAGATGTAGGTAAGAAATGGTGATAACTCTGTGAAAAACTGTTGGTAAATTAAAACGTTTGAGGATAACATCCATTCCGCAAAGTAACATAAAATCATTGTAAACAAACAAATAAATAGATAAATAAAAATTGTCATTTGCTATCTGGTGGCAAAAAATAAATCCCTTCTGAATTAAAAACAATAATAAATAAAATATCTAAATAATGCATGCAGATGTGTTGCTGTTACGTTTGGGCTTGAATCCTTAAAACTGTCAAAGGCAAAGGAAATGAATCTGGACACAATTAAAAATAAATCCTAAATATTTTCTAAAATCCTGGACAATGAGTTCCCTGAGCTAGTCTAATAAAACACCAACTACACCTGCCTTAGTTAGAAACAAAGCTTGTGCAGTTTTAATCAAATACTGTATAAGATTAATACAATTTATAAAACACTGCCTGCCATTGTCAAATGACATTTTACACAACATCCAATCCTAATTTGGAAAAGTTAAATAATCCTCCAATTGGATTGGGGTTTTAACAATCCTCATTCTAACTCTCTGTGTAAGCTGGACTCAACAACGCAAGTTTGGGCTTTGATTAACTCTGTAAGTTTATGATATCAAAATACCATTTTTACCGCTTTGTTAGTAATGTAAACATATATTTAAATAAAACAAARGGGAGTCGGGCTTTAATGGATGACTGTATGAAAAGGTTTTTCATGTATTTAACATTCAGTGAAGCTGTTGTTTGTTTTCTAACCTGCTTCTTCAACTCTTCCACTCTCTTCCTCAGCAGGGAGTTTTCTTCTTCGAGGAATCTGTACTCCAGAGGCCGAGGTTGGAGGGTAGCTTGAACCCCCAGCTCATAGTGCCCACCTCCGCCCCCATCTGTCAGACGAAGGCCCTCCAATCGCCGCCTCTTCAGCTGGAGGGCGGTGTGGTCCATCGAGGCCTCCAGGGAGTTGGCATCGAACAGCCCGCTCTCCAGCAGGGGGTCGTACATGGAGTACGCGCTTCTGTCGTACCGTCGTTGTCCCGACGCGCCGATGGACAGACAGCCGCTCATCCCGCCTCCGCCCATCCCCACAACCCCTGACATGCCTGGATCTCTGCACCCCCCCAGGCTGGTGCAGCCTGTCCCCATCATGTTACCTCCACCTCCCACAAGTCCTTGCATCCCTCCATAAGCTCCTCCCCCTACCCCTATGCCTCCCCCCGCATTCACCAACCCACTGGCGCCCTGTCCCACCACACCGCCCACTCCAGCCCTCGAAGATTCATATTCATAGTCTTTTTTGACGTGGCGAAATTTACACTTGTTGCCTCTCAGACACTCTCCCTTCAGGAAGTCTCTGCAGATCGGAACCTCTCCACGGCTGAGAGGGAGGTCCATTGGAGAGAGGCCAAGTCGTGCTGCGACTTTTCCTCTCAGTCTGGGAGGCAACTCTCCTGTTTTCTTGTAATAGTCCTCATCCTCCTTGGATCCATGGACAAAGCGGCAGTTGGAGCGCATGCACTCCTTATTCTGATTGTCGTGACAGAAGATGAACTCGTTCTTTTGCACGCCCAAGTCCGGTACCTCATTGAAGTCCGGGTGTCTGAAGCGACAGCGCTTCCCTCTCTTGCAGACATTGCGTATGAAGTCCCTGCAGACGCCATCCAACGCCAGTCCCATACTTTGCCCCCCACCGCTGCTGTTCCCAAATCCATTGCTGTTTCCGGGCGCCCCTGCTCCACCCATGCCCCCTGAGCCATAGACGTTTCCGCCGACACCTCCACCAGAACCTCCACGGCCGTCTGTTGAACTCCCCGCCAAACCAGACCCAGGTCCTCCGTCCTCGCCGAGACTGCCCCCACTCCCACCACCAGCAGACAGGTAGGAGCTGTCCCGGTCAGGCATGGCTCTGGGCCCAGCTCAGAGAGAAATCAGCACTCATGTGTATGAGCACATACTCAGGCCAGGAAGTCAAAGATTCACGTTTTTCTTTGTTTAATTGAAGTAACACAATTCACCTTCCACAGAGCTGTAAGACAAGTAAAAACAACACATTAACTTAACATGTATTTTAACAGCACTTAACAAGTACTGATAGATTTCAGTCTATCACAAAAAACTAAAGGGACACAAACAATAAAAAACAAGAGATTAACTGAATAACATTCACTTGCAAAATACAATCATACAAATAGCAATAAAATGTGAACGACCATTAAATCCACAATATTTAAAAATATACAAAAGAAATAAATGCATTTTAAAAATTAAGAGTTGAACTGATCATTGAATTCTTACAGAAGGGTAAATTTTAGTTTCAGCTTCAGACATGAAGTGTGTGGGATTTTTAAAAAATGAATGTGAGCTGATTCACTTATCAGACCTGTTCTATCAGCAAAGGCTTTTTGTGATGTTAAGGAGCACACTTAGAACTTTAAGGTAGGCTGGAGTGTCTTTATAAGTTCAGAGGTGATAAGAAAATATTAAAAATCTACCCAACATTTTACAGGGAGTCAGTAGGGAGACAACAACTGGAATAATAAGATATTTCTTGTGAGTATTTTATTATACTCCTGCTTCGTTTTGGATATATTATAAAATTTAGAAAAGTTATTCGAAGTAAGCGGTCTTATTTTTTAATAATAGCTTTGGAAGTCAATCCTGATGTATGTTGAAAAATAAAAAAATGAAAGAAAACAAACTTGACAAATAAAGCTCAACTCACGTGTCGCAACAAAACATCTAAATAAGTAGCACCGCTGTTGTTACTTGTGAAAKGCGGACAAAAATGATTGTTTTGGTTAAACATGAACAAAGCATTAGGATAAATTTACGAGTATTTATCTCGGTAAATATTTGACAAACTATAAAAAGTCAGCAGAGATGTGAGACTACGCAAAGCTAATCGCTAACAAACGTCGTCTGAACTGTCTGGAAAATAAAGAATTCTTGTTTAATCTTACCACAAACAAAAAAAAAGTCTGTGTTGATCACAGCCGAACAGTCCTTTCTCGTTTTATATGAAATGACTACAGATTTTTTATTATTATTAATAACAACATGAGGCTTGTGTTATTTTTGGGAATACCTCAGGGCCCGGGTGTTGTTTACCACCACCTTTCTTCTTGCTACAGCTTTAAGCACCAACGAAGAAGACTGCTTTCTTCTTCTTCTGTTTCCTCAGTTTGTTGATTTCCGCCCTCTAGTGGAGGAATCAGGAAACAGAATTTAAACTGCACCGTGCTCGGTTTTAGCAAGGAAATAATTCACATCGTGTAAAAATTGTATTCTTAGATTATTGCTGCAACTGTGAACAAAGTCTCCCATACATTAATACTTTTTTACAGCTGTTTGTTTATGCTGGTGAGTTGAAACGAGGCTTAAAAAAAGAACCATGACTCAGCTGATGTGTGTAGCTTTGTTTGAATATGTAAATAAGCTGTCAAAAAGCAGTAGCTGTTAGCTTCAAGTCAAACATTGTCTGAGTTCTCCCTTGTCTTCTCAGGTGCTCAACATGGGTTTTCTCCAGATGCAAGCCTGTGTGGTCCTGGTGCTCTGCCTCACAACAGAAGTTCATCCCTCCTCAGCCTCAGAGACGGTTAAAACTTACTATGAAACTCTTCAAGTCGAACCGACAGCCACGGACAGCCAGATCAGAAAGTCTTTTCGCAGACTGGCAGTGAAGTACCACCCGGATAAAAACAAGAGCTCGCATGCAGAGAAGACTTTCAGGGAGATTGCTGAAGGTAAACAACAACAAAACATTTTCTTTTAATTAAATGTGTAATTTACATAGACAAAAATAGTGAATTTATACTTGCACAACAGCATCTTACTTATGAACTCTTCCTTTTTTTAATTTATTTGTTCCTCTTCTGTTTTTCTTGTCCACCAGCTTACTCTGTGCTCTCTGACAAAAAGAACAGGAGGCTTTATGACCTTGTGGGCCATGAAGCGTACCTACAAACCGAGGCCTCTTTTGACCCTGACGTTGAACCTCGGAACAGCTTCCACTTCAGCTTCTCAGACTTCTTCGATGGCCGTCTGTTTATGGACGAGTCACCCTTCTACTGGAGCTTTGTTCAGGTGGAGGAGGACGCTCCATACAAACGCTACAGTTTTCAGGAGCCAAACATCCACTTTTATTTTGAAGATATGTTTGAAAATGAGGAGGATTACTACTACTAGTGTCCTATCTTCAGATTTATGATTATTCTGATAATAAACATTTATTAATCAAACTGTATGTTGTGTTTGTTTTTTTAAGTCACTGCGATAACTTGGAAAACTTTTGTTCTTGTTTTTTTTAATCTTGTGAATCCAGTGGTTAAAATGTTGCAGAGCTGACAGTGAGATAAGTGTGTGGACCGTTAGGGCACTTTTCCTGCGTGGGTGTGTCTGAAGCTCCACAGTTACAGAATAACAGAGCGTTTTACTCATCTCGTCTAATTCCTTGCACCAGCACTTTAGGCCGGGCACAGTTTACTCRTCTCATGCCTTTCAGAACCATTGTGCACTTTGACCCAGAGGATATCCTGTGCTTTCTCAGCAGCTGAAGCTTCACCGGACTGAAACAAACGGGGAACAAAACAAAGCTCTTCTCAAAAACTCCTCTAAGCTTTGTGCTTTTACTGAGCTCAAAGGAGACTGAACTTAGATTTTTTTTTATAAAAGCAGCAACAAGTCAGACTTGAAACAGCTTGACCATGATGGTGAGTGCACCTGAGAGAGTTGTTTTGGAACATGTTAYGTGACTTTCACTCTGATTGCAAAGCAGATTTTAATTGAACTCATTTCTTGTTTTTTTAAGTGCATTAATATGAATTTATCAGCTGCTGGGTTTGCACACCTTCCCTTTTCCCTCTGTTTTTCTCACAGGAAGAGGTGAAAGACGAGTCCTCATTTCTGRGTGTCCACAGGGACTCCATCAAAGTTACAGAGGTGCTGCAGGACGGGGACACTCTTACCTTTATAATTGTTTCTCAAAAGGTGTGAATAGAATTAATTTATTTAACCCAATAGTCCTGTTAATGCAATGAAAGTGGATCATGCAGCTGAGATGACATTTTGTCTCTGTGGTCTGTTCCAGCTGTCTGGGACCGGAGAGTACCATGTGGACCGGACCTATGATGACTTCGACTGGCTGCAGCAGCACCTGTACAACCAGGAGGACACACCTGGGTTACAAGGAGTCATAGTAAGGACTTTATTTTTCTGTTCATCTACAAATATTACTTGGTGATACAAGATTTTATGACAATAAACTACAAAAAACTGGTTTGTATTTTTTTGCTGAGAAGTTTTGGGGAAAATTGTTGTTCACCTTTATTTACCTGCCTGCTGTAGCTTAACCAAACTGAGTGCTGATGTCAGGAATAAAAGGAAACTGATTTTATGTAACTGTTAAACTATATGCTTTTTGAGGAATCTTTATACTTTGTTCTAAGCTGAAAGCGATAAAAAAATTCTAAAGCATGTAAAAAACTAAACAAACAAAAAAGAAAAATAACATGAAACATATACTGTACATATAAGGCAGTAATTTGTCTTGTGTTTTATTTGTTCTAGTATTTAAAAATCTTTCTGTTCACTTTAGGTAAGTTATTTTCTTAGAGAATTAAAACGATGATGCTTCTCATCTTGAAGATCTTATTTAAATTTCTAAAATTAAGCTATTATTAATAAAAATGATAAAGAATTTAATTTGTAACGCACTTTTCATTAACAAAAATCTCAAAGCCCTACAAAACTGCCAAGCAAACAGCAAATAAAAGAACAATAAAATTACACTAATAAAAACAACAGCCAAGACAAGGAAAAAGCTTGATTTTTAAGCCGTGTTAAAGATATCTAAATTTAGTGATAGTAAGCCCAAAACCTGCACCCACCATTATAAAAACAAAGCTGTGAACATAAATAAATATCAACTTTACAAAATGAAAATACTCAGTCTATTTCGTGGAAAGGCTTCCAAAATGCAAGTTTTAACTTTTGTGAAAATGTGATTTGTGTCAATAAAGGCACCTCAAAAAAATGTAGCTAAAAAGCAGCTGCAGTGAGTTTTAGAAAAAAATACTGAAAATACTGTAATCCTATAAAAATTGTGTCAGATTTTGGTTGTGGAAAAAAAATTAATCAAAAAAAGATAAATACACAAAAGCAGAAATAGAGGCAGTATTCTCTCATTTTAAAACCAAACGAATGCTCTTTTTATTTAAAGTATTTGCTGTTTTTGTGTCTTTCCTCACATCAGTTCAGTAGAAAATGAAGTCAAACCTTAAAGAATGTTTTCTTGCTGCTGATCTTTATGATCTGCCTCACTGTGCTTACTTCTACAGCGACAGTGTGTTCAGTCTGGGCATCTTTTTGTGTTTTTGTGTATTTGCTTTGTGGCGCAGTGAAGTAAAATGTCGCTCTCTTGTTTTGAAGTTTCCTCCTCTTCCGGCGAGGCCTCAGGTGAATGCATCTGCCAAGGCTATGAAACAGCTGGGTGAGTGAAGACACCCCGTCCCTCGGTGAAAACAATATAAAAACAGCTCTTTTTAAAGCTGAACCCAGCTGGTTGTGTTTCAGAGTTTCTCGTGTGTTTGGTGTTTTCTCTGCAGGTTTTCTGGGTTTGGGAGAGTGGCAGCCTTACTGCAGGGCACTGGAGACGTTCCTGAGGCAGGTCTCTGCTCACAGCGTACTCAGCAAAAACCAAGCTGTGGAGGTCTTCCTGACCAGTTCAGGTGTAAGTTTGCTCCGATTTCCAGCTAGTTTCAGCCTCAGTGAACCGCGAAAACAAAACGTCTGTTACAGAGTTTAATAGGATGCGTTTTCATGAGGAAGACGCCCAATAAAAGGTTAAAGTTTCACCAGCAGTTTTAAAAAGGAGAGACTTTCATGTGACCAACATGGTGCCATTCACGTACAGTTCTTACAGAAATAAAGGTCAGAGCTGAATAAAACAAGGATTTTTATTTGACTTACACCTGTCACTAAAAGGTGAATGCAGAATGTTTTTAAACATCTGTTAGTTAAATATCTCATGAATTTAAATGAAACTTGCAGAACGTAATGACTGAATCTACAACTTGCCTTTAGAATTGACCCAATTCAAGATGGTCACCAATGCTAACAAGCCTTGGAGAACACAGAAATGACCATAATCCTGTCAGGTTGACAGATGTTGGACTAAAATGTGTTGTGGGGTAGAGGTGGTAGCTGGGAGTCTTTCAGAACATATTCTGAGCATGATTGTGCGAAATCGGGGGTTAGCACTACTTCAACTCAAGTAAAAGTAAAACTTAACAGTCCAAAAAACTTACCTAATTAAGGGTTTAAAAGTATTTTGTAAAATGGCTTCTTGAGTACTGAGTTACTGATCATAACATCAGATTTAATATTTTTAAATTACTTCATCAGACTGACCCAAACAAAGAAAAATATCAACCAAGTGTCTTCTGCGTGTCAGTGAATTCTGCAACATTATGTGCAGATTATGAGGTTTTTAAAGACTAAAATCTAGAAAATTAATACAAATAAAATACATAATTACAAAATATCAAATTATAGCAGAAGAACGACTTTTTCAAGTCAGATTTTTCTCATGAAACTAATACTTGCAGTGTGTGTGTGTGTGTGTGTGTGTGTGTGNGCGTGTGTGTGTGTCTTAATTACAGAACAGGGTAAAGTACTTACAGTGACTATTTCTAATGTTTATCATATATTCAGCTGACCTCCAAACGTCTCAGCAGAAATAACAAAGATTGTGTACAAACAAGAGGTCTCACTTCAACACCAAAAAATGTATGTATGGCTCACAGATGCCTTTCTGGTTAAAACTTGTTTTCCATTCAGTGAAGTTTTTTATGGTGGGTAAAGTATTCAGAAAGTAGTAAAAGTAGCAATACTTCACAATAACATTACTCAAGTAAAGAAAGTATGGCGTAATAACTACTAGAAGTACCCCCCCCCCCAAGTAAATGTAACTAGTTACTTCAGGTGATATGACTCTCTGCAGATATGACATTACAACTCTGTCATTTCTCAACATAAGAAGATCTTGCATGAAATGTGGTGGACCCTGGGCCATATGCGTTCCTTTGAGGACGTCACCTTTCGACAACAGGCAGTAAAAATGTTATTTTTAAAAACATACTGTCAAGAATCACAAAGTGTTCACAGTTGATGAAAGGACCCGGTTTCAGGATCCAGGAAATAACTTTAATAACAAAACAAAATTGCAGGAAGTCCAGGGGGACGAAACAAAGCGTGACCCAGCAGCAGGACAGGAAGTGAGCGAGATGACGAGGCCAGCTGAGGACATGCACACCTTTACAAGAAGCTGAACTCAGGAAAAGAAACACCTGCAAACATAAGACTGACTGGAAGAAATAAAAAAAAATGTAACCCAACTGTGACAAACTCCAGCCTGAGAGCTGTGATTAAAACCGTTTGTGTTAGGTGTGATTTATATCACGAACAGAACAGATAAACGTTCTGTTAGGAATGTTGTTCAGCTTTTATTCAGTTCTTTTGTTTTTACTAAAGTGAGATAAACTTTTCCTCCAACAAAAAGGACTGAGCTCCCTCCCTTAGCAAACAGCTTTTATTATGAAATACTTTCACATAAAATCCTGATTTGTGTGTCCAGCCTCCAGGCAGGCAGAAAATAAAGAGAAACATTTTCAATCGACTGAGTCAAGCTGTGGAAGAGCTGAGGAAAGAAGGCCATAAGGTACACAGACACACATAAACCACTGGGTGTCAGAAACTGAGGGTGGATTTAAAGCTGGAACAAATATTGTCTGCAGGATGTGGACGAGTTCTTTCAAACTGAACGAGACCAGAACCTCCTGCTGACCGGTTCCAGCAGGACTGCAGCTGAGGTGTGTCAGCCTCTTTATCTGTCACCTCTGTCTTTTCTGACTCATTTATGATGGGATTTATTGAAAGTTTGACTTTTTTTTTGCAGAGATTTCTAGAAGTGGTGCTAACTGAGCAAAGTAAGGTTCTTTTATATAAGTGTTAATTATTTGTATTAAAGTCATWGTTTTTTTCTCTCACAGACAGTCTCTGTTTCTTTGCAGAAATCTCAACAGCTTGTGGGCACTTTGCAGCTGCTCTACATCTCTGTGTGGAACCAGGAGAAGATCTTGAAAAACAGGCTTTTACCAGGTGAGAGAACCAAAGTTTATTGTTTGTTTGGAGCCAATGCTCCTCTTCTTGGTTGTGTTTTTGGTTCCAGTTATTCTCAATCAGATCTGAACTGCAGGGAGACCAGTGAACCATGACCAGTACAAGATTTATTTAGATTTTATTTATTCCTTTTGCTAAACTAAAGTAATACTTTTAGCTCAAACTTTCATTATTTTTTGTAATATTTTTGTGAACAATTTAGCTCTCTGAAAACCAATAAAACTTCATTTCAGTTTAAGCAAATTATTTATATAGTAAGTAAACTCTTTGCAAAAACATCACTGGCCCGGTTCAGTCTGTTTCATTTTAGTAAAGTCCATCAAAGTGCCTCTGACATGCAGATCTTTCAAATACAAAAAGTAAAATGACAAACTTTATATTTAGGAAACTTGACATAATACAAATTATTTTAACTATTTAGTCACATAACTGTCTGATTTTCATTTGAACGTGGCTCAGCCAAAGTGAAACAGGAAGTGATGTCACAGAAATGGTCTTTGTTTATTGAAGCAATATTATTTAAACTCTCACTCTTCTTCAACTCTCTATGACTCAAAATAATCCAAAGAAACATCAGGTTCTTCTCTCCTTCCTGCGTTGTTAGCTGTCATAGCTATACATGTTCCCATGCAGGGATTCCCCTTTGACATCACTTCCTGTTACTTCACATCCAAATATCTCAACAACTGTTCATCTCAGCAGCGTGAAATTTCTTTAGCAATATGTCATCAATGTTCTCTTTCCAAAAATTCATTCATATTTATTACAAAAAAATTGATCTCACAGGCACTTTAAGATTGAAAATTAGGAAGTTTAAAATTAAACATCTTTGTATTTTGTACAAGTTCAACCAGAGCGACTAGAACTTTGCTCAATTTTTTTATCATAAAATGATTGTTTAAATAGAAAAAAAGAGTATTTTTGTATCCATAAACCTATGAGGAGTCAGAGCACATTAACCTAGTTTTAGCTGCCCTGCACTGACTTCCTGTCATGTTTAGAATTGATTCTAAAAACCAACCTTACATATGAAGCTTTTACTGATCAAACTCTGTCTGTAGTTCTACCTAAAACCCTGCAACCTCATACCTGCAGTTTACTGAAGCTTTCTGACAGCTGAATAGGATATGGAGCTTCATTTGTCAAAATCACCCTAAAGCTCTGAAAGTCTTATTTATTGACAACAGAGAAGTTAGATCACTAAATACATTCAGCAGAAAGTTTAAAACCATTTTTTAACCTCAGTTTTTGGTTTCTGACTACCACGATTCATTTTATGAAACTTTTGTTTTTTATTTCTTTCACCACCTAGTTTAAAATATTTTGTTGCTTTTAACCTTTGCTTTATGACTTTAACTCCATTTTCTCATGAAAATGTTTTAAATATCCATATTTTTTATTGATACTATTCATTTGTGGTGTTTGTGTGAAGCTCTTTGAGCTGCATTTGTTGGTATGAAATCAGATAGATGATTAAATATTTACTTACTTGGTTTCCTCCTGCTCTGAAAGGTCAGAAGCAGGAAGTAAAAAGACCTGTTGAAAGCAGATAGGTGAACATAGGACACACACAAACACACAAACACACACACAAAAAAACAAAGACAAAAATCACCTTAAGTTGGAAGAAGCGTGAAAACGTTCTTGTGCTTCACAGCTAAGATCTTCAAATGAAACTTTTTTTTACTTGCAGGGTTTGTGTGCAGTTATCAGAAGTATTTGATAACATGAAGGTGAGCAGCCCTTTTTGTTAGAATAAACTCAGACGTCCCTCTCTTCCACGCCTAATAATTCTGTGTTTAAGCAGAAGAGCATGAGGAGTTTCTTTGTGAACGACATGAACACACTCGGCCTCGGCCTGGACCTGCACTCACGTTACCAGGAGGCCATGAAGGAAATGCTCTTCAGGAGGACCTGTAAAATGGTGGAGTTAGAGAATGYCAGAAAGAATGCGGAGAAGGCCAAACCTGTGAAGAAAGCTGCTGTGAGTTGATGTACATACGGTGTATAAGCAGCAGGGGGCAGCAACAAGCTATAGTTATCCATCAAAAACAATGAGAACGTTTGATGTAAATATTATTTGCTCTGATAAATAATATGAAGGTGATCCATATTTTTCAGATGGAAGAGGTAAAGAAAGCAGCAGAGACAGAGTTTCAGCAGATTAGTGAAGTTGCGAAACAAGAGGTAAAATATCTAAAACATCCATTTCCCCCTCCCTGTGGCTGTCAACAGAATTTTATGTTGACAGTCTTGTAATATTTCTGTTTCTGTCCGCAGATAGTCCACTTTGAACAGATACGTGTGGACATGCTGCAGAGGAGTCTGGTTCAGTGGTGTGAAAAGCAGCTTGTTACGGCCAAAGAAAGTGTTGACATTTTCAGCCACCACCTGCAGGCCTTTAAGGCCATGGTTTAAGTGACCTCAGGAGAACTTGGTTCACACAAAGAATCCTCAGTTTCTCCAAACGGGGGTTGAGGCCAACGATGCTGCTGTGGTTTGATTTAGTCTAAATCACAACTAAAGGCCCGCGGGCCAAATCGGACCCTCGTTCACATTTCATCCGGCCTCAAAGGCGATACTAAAAAAGATCGTTTTATGGTTTCTTTTTTTTGTCACTGGACATTCTTCTCATGATAGCTGGCCAACTTTCAAGCCAAGGCAATTATGTTTAATTTTATTTGATTTTGGGTTTGAAAGATCAACACAGAATTTAATTTAATTAAAATTTTCTGTGTTGTATTTTTATTTCAAAGTCACTTAATTGGGTTTTTAGTGAAGGTTTTCTTTTTTTTTTTAAACTAATTTACTGACTTGTGATAAAATGTTTTATCTCTAAAACATAACAAATGAAAAAGTTGTTGGTAAAAGTAAGGCATAAGAGATGAATGACAAAAAAACTTTTTTTTCCTTTATTCGTTAGGTTAGGAATGGTCTAAATGCTACATAATACATACTTTAGAAAAGTATGAAAATAATAATTTGTTATATAACAGTTTCTCAATAAATATTGACACATAGGTCCTTGGGTTGGACCAAGTTTAGAATGTTGACCCCCTTGTGTTTACCAGAGACCAGAGTTTAACCCTATCGGTCTAAATAAAACCAATTAAAGCAACATAAAAAAGGAAACCTGAACCTCAAMAACTAGAAACATTCACGTAAATCAAAAATTGCCCTTATATTTGTGTTTAGATCTTTTGAAGTGGTGTTCGGTGGAAAAGTAATGAATATCTTACCTGTTGTAGATATTGAACAGTTGCCGTCATAAAACAACTTTAATTTAAAGGCTCTTTTATAAACCTTTGTCATGATGTCAGTTTCACATTATGTGGTCATTATACAACATTTTATCTGCTGTTGCTTCTATGTAACACTGTCAATACCATAATATAGGCTGGTATAATAATTATTCAGAACCATTTCACAGAACATTGCTTCAGAAGATATGAACTATCGCTTTAAGCACATCGATATATTTTGATTGTTCAGTAGTTGTTGGCCTCAATTTCATGTGAATCTGACATGTAATCACACTTCTGCCTGTAAAACTAATGATTGTTTCGAGCGTTGAGCCCCAGGTTTTATCGTTTGTGACTGTATGTTTTAACAGCATCACTAGAATCTGCTGAGGCTGTATTGTGCTGCTTTGTAGCTGCTTCATCAGCTGGGGTCACATAAAATAAAGTGTGATGAATTGATTCTTGTACCTGCTTGCTCGTGTGTGTATGTGTGTGCGTGTGTGTGTGTGTTTCTCACACTGGGATCATAAATCAGTTTGTTTGACCGCTCTGGCAAGGACGTGGCAGCGTGGATGCTGGCTCTGAGCTCGCTCTTTGTTTGCCTTTCTCTAAACTATCCCTCTGTTGTGAATATCTCCAAACGATCTTTATCACATGTGTTAATTGGATGAAAGTCGTTTGAATGTTTCAGTCAGACTTGGCTACATTTTCTGCTCATAAACCCTTTGTCTGCTGTGGACAGGAAGTTCATACCTCACTTCTGCTGTTTGGCTCCTTTAATCTGTTTTTGGTTGGAGAATGGGACGTGTGTGTGTGTGTGTGTGTGTGTGTGTGTGTGTGTGTGTGTGTGTGTGTGT